TATTTTTAGTAGAGACGGGGTTTCACCATGTTGACCAGGATGGTCTCGATCTCTTGACCTCGTGATCCACCTGCCTCGGCCTCCCAAAGTGCTAGGATTACAGGCTTGAGCCACCTCGCCCGGCCACAGAGTCCATTATTAAGTTGTGCCACTTGCTTCAGTGCAGGCGCTCCCCGGGTCCCAACCCTGGAACTAATCCAACCCCTTTAGTCCCGTCTCTTTAGTGTCCCTTCATCTGGAGCAATTCCTCAGCCTTTCTTTGTCGTTTCTAACTTGGAAGTTTTTGTAGTGTTATAAAGCCACTTGTTTTGTTGAATGCCCCTGGATTTTGGTTTGCTGATATTTCCTCGTGACTGGACTCAGGTTATGCGTTTTTGGCCAGAATTCCACATGATCAGGAAGCACATGATGTCATTGTGCCCGGCAGGGGTGACGGTGACTCCCATGGCCTGGTTGAGGCAGTAGCCAATAGCCTCTTGCTGCTGTAAAGTGACTCGTGTTCACTCTGAAATTAATAAGTAATCTATGGGTGATATTTTTGAGACTGTGCATGTGTATCCTGTTTCCCAACATGTTTTCACCTGATGGGATTGTTTATTGAGCGTTGACTCTTGACCAAACTCCTCCTGAAGTTCAGCTGCAGGTCAACATCTCCATGGAGGTAAATACCAGGGTTTGTGTTTTTGGCTGCCAATGTAAACTTAGCATTGGGAAATATATTGATTTTTATCAAGGAGGTTTTGCTCCATTTGGGACAAAAATGCTTTCCGGGTTTTAAGTCTAAAAGGCCAGATTCCTTTATTCATTTGTTCAATAAGTATTTATTGAGTGCTTACTCTGTGCCAGGCACTATTCTAGCTGCTGGGGACAAAGTTTTTTTTGTTGTTGGTTTTTTTTTTTTTTACCAGACCAAATCCCTGTTGTGGAAACCGCATACTAGTGGAGGAGTCAGAGGGTCAATCCACATGCTGCTGTGGGGGAGTGAGAAGCGAAGAGGAAGCAGGCCAGCGGAGGAGACAGGGTCATGAGGTGAAGGCTGCTGTTTTACCAGGGCTGACCAAGCCTAAGGAGCCAGCCTCCGAGCAGAGGCCTGAATGAAGGAGCCTCGCCTCTGTGCATTTCCCAGTGTGATACTGGATGACTCTTTTGAGTCCCAACCCACCCTCTTCACTGATGTATGAAAGTGGGGTTAAAACCACCTATGACCTCAGACCAAATGTGAAAGTCTAGGCTGGTAGTTCTTAGCTGGGTTTTGCGATGGATGAGTGAGTACGAGGACTTCATGGTGGTAAAATGTCCCTGGATGAAGCAAGGAGCAGTGTGGCTCCTCAGGTAGGCGACTGCCTGGCAGTGGGAACAGCCAGTGCCGGCCCAGAGAGGAGCCGGTGGCTGACACGAGTTAGCGGGTCAGGGAGGAGCTGGCACTGCTGGAGCAGAGGCCTCAGGTGGGAGAGAGGGCCAGGGCGAGGTGACCAGCAGCCTTGTGGACCACAGCAGGAAGCACGGGAGCTGCGGAGCAGGGGACTGTTTGAGGGTGGCAGTCCTCACCTCAGTGTGACCCTGACTGGGGCTTCTGGTGGCGATCTGAGGGAAGTCGGGTCTCTAGGGAAAGTGGGGAGCTCAGAGAGTGCTGCAATGGGGTTCCCATCCGGGCAGGCGCACTGCAGGAAAGGCAGGAGGATGGCAGGAGGTGAGCAGTTGGAAAATAAAGCCTCCTGGGTGCTCTTGCTGCTGAAGGGAGGTGGGAGGGGCTGGCTCTGTGAGACTCTGGTTTCCCTGCACCCTGGATGGCTGGGCAGGTCTCACACAGGCCTTGGCAGACCACTGGCTTTCTGATCTGGAGCAGCCGGGAGCCCCAGGCTGGGAGCTCAGCTGGGTGACCCTGCCCGCAGAGCCAGGCCACTCTCCAGCACCCACTCCGCCTCTGTGCGCCGCCCATCTCACCCCCACTCTCAGGGAGCTCTACTGCCCAACCCAGGCAACTGAGGCAACAGTGGAGAGAATTAAACTAGCCTTAGTGGAGCGCTCTTCTCTGTGTGAGGCACTTCCTGAATCTTTCCTTCTACTGACTCATTTAATTCTCCCAACACCTGGAAGATAGGTGCTGGTATTACCCCAGATTGTAGAGGTCAGAAGACTGAAGCCACATGGTCAGTCACTTGCCTGAGGTTACACAGAACTCATGCAGAGCCAGGACTTGCACCCAGGCTGACTAGCTCCAAAATCTCTGTTCTCATCCACCAGGCTCCCCTGCAGATGTAGGGGTTTCCCTCAGGTCCACTGCAAGGGTCAAGGTGGTGCCATTCAGTCTACTTCAAGCAGTCTCCTGCCTCTTGAGATCTTGATATGCCTGACCCCTGGCCTCTGGCCCATGACCCTGAGCTGTTAGAGAACAGAGTGAGAAGCAAGGAACAGTTTTTTTGCTGCTCCTCAGAGGGTTGTGAGGAGGCCTTTGTGCCTCCTTTTCAAGGTCAGGTTCAGGGATTCCCGGGATTGGGTGACATTTATTTAGCACCTCTGGTGATCTAGGTGACATGTTTTATTTAATGTGAACAACTCTGTGAGGCAGATTTGATGGAGCACCCTTTAATGGGTGAGGAAGCCAAGGCTCTAAGACATGAAGCGCCATGCCCAAGGGTACACAGCCAGTATGCAGAGTCATGTGACCAGCCCAGGGCCAGCATCCATGTTTTCCCACTGTGCTGCTATGCCTCCTGGAGCTGATGGACTGAGACGTTTGATGGGACAGAAGTCATGTGCCTGGTTTGTCATCTTTGTACATCCTCAGTGGGCTTTGGAAGTACAACTGGGGCCATTAGGCGGCCTGTGGTGTCCAGAGTGCTGGCTTTAGGGTAAGAAGGCCTCCGTTCCAGGCTCACCTCTGCTGCAGTTCACAGTGTGATGCTGGATGAATCTTTTGGTCCCAGTCCACCCTCGTCACTGATGTATGAAAGTGGGGTTAAAACCACCTATGACCTCAGACCAAATGTGAAAGTATAGGTTGGAAGTTCTTAGCTGGGTTTTGTGATGTATCAGTGTGAGGACTTCATGGTGGTAAAATATCCCTGCTGGGTTTTAGCTCTCTCTTGGGTTTCCCTGGGACAACCTATCTAAACCTCAGATAAGAAAGTCAGAGGGGAACCATGGGTCTTTTGAGAAAGAGCCAAACTGATTTTGAAATACCGTTTTCTTTCTCTACCCCTAAGATCTATGTTTAAACACGATGTGTAAATGTTGGAGTAATGACAACGATTGTACCAAATGGTATTAAAAATAAGGGAAAGGGCTTAACTAAAACCAGGTGGTGCTGGACCCGGACGCTAGCTAGAGTCTATTTAGGAAAACTGCAAGATGTCCTTCTAGTTAAAACTGTGGTTGTCACCTGGGGACAGTTTTTCCTTCCAGGAAAATTTGGCAATGTCTGGAGACATTTTGGGTTGTCACAACTTGGGGAGAGTGCTACTAACATCCCAACAGGGGCCAGGGATGCAGCTGAACATCCTTCAGTGCATGGGACAGCCCCTGCAACAGAGAATTATCCAGGCCTAAATGTCAGTGGTGCTGAGGTTGAGAAACCCTGGATTAAGTATCACGGCACTTACGTGTTTTCTGTGTGCCAGACATTGTTCTAAGAACTTCACAGGTAATTGACTTGCTTAATCCTCCCAGTCTTATGACCCAAGAGCTTTTACTATCCTCATTTGGCAGATGAGGAAGTAGGGGCACCAAGAGGTTAAACAACTGAACCATGCTCCGGGTGAGGCCAAGGTCCCATTCAGAGTAAGGAGCAGGCAGAGCCAGGACTTGACCTCAGACAGTCTGGCTCCAGAGTCTGTGCCTATAACCACTGCACTGTGCTGCACTGCCTGTTGTTAAGGGGACTACTGGGCTTTAAAACACATTTTCAACTTTGGGTCCAGAAAGCCACATACCTAGAAATTTGGCATGTGAGAAGGGTTAGGGACCTCTCATTCCTGTACCTGGATGATGGAGCAGGAAGAGCTGGGGTTTGCCTGATGAGAGGCCCAGCGACCCACAAGTGAGAACCTTGTGTTTTCCAGGTTCCAAGTGTGGCTCAGCTCATGAATGCAGTGGCACGAGGCACCCTGTGGGAGTGGATCTGGGGTGCAGAGAACCTCTTGGATTTTGGCTTCCCTCAGGGAATCAAAGCCAGGGCGAGAGTTCTCTCCTTACCATGGTGCCTGTGGCATAGAGAATGGGCATTGCTTCCCCATCACGGACTGTGCTGTGTCGTTGCAGATGTAAAGACGACCGTGATTTACCCCGCCACAGAGAAACACCTGCAGAAGTACCTGCGCCAGGACCTCCGCCTGATCCGAGAGACGGGGGATGACTACAGGAACATTACTTTACCCCACCTGGAGTCCCAGAGCCTCAGCATCCAGGTGACTGGCCATGTGTCTCAGACGCAAAGCACCGCTCCCGTGGCTGGTGTCTCCTCTTACAAGTGTCTATTGGAGTTTTATTAGGGGCCAGGCACTGTGCTAGGCGAGGGGGTGGGGGTAGAGTAGAGAGCATGGCGAACAGAATCCCCACCTCGTGAGGCTTACATCCGTGCACAGTCACACAATGTGTGACCTTACTTAGATATCTTAGGATCTGTATGCTCTGTGAGATGATGAGTGCTGTGGAGAGAAACAGACGGGGTAAGTGGGACCAAAAGGGCTGGGGCGGGCAGCTGCCATTTTATATGGCATGGTCAGAGAAGGCTGGTGGTGAAGGAACCGATGCTGATCTTGGTCCCACCTGATGTGCTTGGGCATGTCATGGAGGCTTTCTGAGGACCTCAAAGCAATCCAGTCCATTGGAAGAATGTGTGTCTGCTCTGCAGTAGCCCTGAGCCAGCCTCAGGATGACTGTGCCCTTGCTTCGGGTCCATGAATGGCAAAAGACTGATGTTGAGTTAGTCCCACCCAGTCCAGACTCTTATTCCTGGTTTCACCTGCGGCAAACCGGCCTGCAGGAGCTGAGTCATGGAGTCAAAAGCTCTTCCCTCACCCACTCCCCCTTACATTCGTCCAACAGAAGGCAGGACCCCACTGGCCCTGGGAGTTTGGTGCAGGGCCTCCATTCACAAGCTGGCAGTTGTCTGGCCAGGCCAGATGAAAGGCCATTTAGCTCCGAGATCCTGACTCCTCCCTGGGTCTAGGCTCAGCGCCAACTGGAGCCTCTGCCTGAAACTGGCCCCATGTGAGTACTCAGAGTTAATATGATTGATGCTTATTGATGAGTCAGTTTCTTGCCCACTCACTGACTCTCACGCTGTTCCTTCTCTTTATCACTCACTGTTGTTCTCTTTGAGCATTTCTCACTTACTCTCCCCAAGATTCAGGTCACTGTGGTGGAGGGTGTTGTGATGTGGGGAACTCACAGCTACTCCTCCCTGGCCCAGAAGAAGGCAGGGTGTGCTGCGTGTGGGCACTGCAAGGTGACTTGCACTTGAGAGGAGTAAGGAAAGGGAGGCTGGCAGGGCCTTCGGGAACAGCGTTTCTTTGGGAGGCTGTGTGCCCCCAGCCCCCTTCCCCAGCCTGGTTCAGCCATGGTCTCCGTGGGCAGCAGTTTGCCTGGGGTGCACGTGGCTCAAGCTTTTTTTTGTTGTTGTTGGTGGTGGTTTTTAAAGTCTCTGCACTTGTTCTGTTTTTCAAGTGGAAAGGAACTATGTCTCCACCTTCTTAGAGTTTCTGCTATTCAGGGTCCTAGGGGAATCTCCTGGAGCAGTTGTTCTGTTGTGCTTGTTGTGCAAACTGGAGATCCAAGTAAGGAAGCCCTGATATGGCTGGTGTAAGTAGCTGGGATTACAGGCACATGCCACCATGCCTGGCTACTTTTTTGTCTTTTTAGTAGACATAGGGTTTTGCCATGTTGCCCAGACTGGCCTCGAACTCCTGAGCTCAGGGAATCCGCCGGCCTCAGCCTCCCAAAGTGCTAGGATTACAGGTGTCAGCCACCACGCCCGGCTGTGCATCTTCCTTATTATATAGTATTATGCAGTTCCACTCAGAGAAGGGCACAATGAAAACTCCACTATTCTTCCAACTCCTGACTGACAGGTGCGTTCATGTTTTCCTTCTTGGCTATTTCTAGTTGGCAAGCACTCAGATTAACTGGCAACAGTCATTATGTTTACTGGGCACCGACTGTGGACCTGATCCTATGCCAGGCTCTGGAGGGTCACCAAGATGATGAAACCTAGACAGTGTCCTCACAGTCTACCAGGGAAAATAGACTTGTAGACAGGCAATTGTGGCAATGGGATAAGCACTCTGATGCCTAGACGAGCTACCGTGGTAATGCAGAGGGACAGTGACCAGCTCAGACAGTTGGGGCTTCACAGGGAGAGGATCCTTCTGTTGGGTCTTGCAGGACAAATAGAAGTTTACCAGGTGTACAAGGGGAGGGAGAGCAAGTCCAGAGGCTCACGGAGCTGGAATCATCTGATGCTGTGGGGAGCTGCAGGGAGTTTGGTGTGACCGGGGCTTGGGCTGCTGGAGGGTCAGAGGAGACAGCACTGAGATGGTAGGCAGGGGCCAGGCGGAGGCACATGGACTTGGTCCAGGGGGCCCACAGTTCCTGAACCTTGCTTATCATCAGGATTGCCTGGGGATTCTTATAAATACCCAGCATGGAGCACTATTCCATACCTGCTGAATCTCACCCTTCAGGGAATGGAGCTGGGAAATGTTCATTAAAAAAATATATATATATATCTCTATGATATTTCTAACAACCATCAGATGTGAGAACAGTTGCCATAGGCAATGAGGGTGCCCGAAACGGTTTTAAGCATGTGGGTAATACGGTCCGATTTGCAGATTAGTTGGTGGAGTGGGGGTGAACATAGAACAGGAAGACTGGAAAAACCAGTATGGGTCTGAATCAAGGAAGGAGCAGTGGGAAAGGACTCTGGAGCAGTTTAAGAGGTAGGTCTTCACACGGCTGGATGGGGCTTCGCAACTGGTTGATATGGAGACGGGAGGGAAGAGCTTGGGTGATGAGTAGGTAGAAGGATAATTCATGACCCAGCATAGGGGACAGAGACAGAAGAGCAGGTTTGCATGGAAGACAGTAAATTCAGTTTGGAATTTATTGAGCACTTCCTATGCATAGTACCAAGAACTGCTCTAAGCATTTATGTGCATCACACCTCATTTATGTATTTATTTACTTATTTATTTTTGAGATGGAGTTTCACTCTTGTCCAAGCTGGAGTGCAATGGTGTGATCTTGACTCACTGAAACCTTCTCCTAGGTTCAAATGATTCTTCTGCCTCCCTCCCGGGTACCTGGGATTACAGGCACCTGCCATTACATTGGGCTAATTTTTGCATTTTTAGTAGAGACGGGGTTTCACCATGTTGGCCAGGCTGGTCTCGAACTCCTAACCTCAAATGATCTGCCCTCCTCGGCCTCCCCAAGTGCTGGGATTACAGTTGTGAGCCACCGCGCCCGGCCTCACATCTCATTTATTCTTCACAGCAGCCCTTTTGGAGACAGGTCTCAAAGCCAGGCAGTCTGGTCTCAGCATCTATGCCGTAGGCCAGAGATACTATCTGGCTTTTTACATGTGAGGTAGTTTTGACTTCCCAGTGAAAATTGTAGTGGGATGTCTGGATCTGGAGCCTTCGAGATCATCTAGTTACAAATGTCTATTTGTGAGTCACCCAGCTAGACTTCAACCTCAGCCTGGTATCTGGATTCTCAGTCTGTCATCTTAGAATGACGTGACATTGTTTTTAATTTCAGAGCCCTGGTTTCCTTGTCTGAAGAATGTAACTAATGGCCCCTCCCTCCTGGGTGTTGTGGAAATTGAGAGAGGGGCTATGTATCATTTGCCTGCTATTATTTCCAGCAGAGAATGGTGCCAGGATGGTAGCCACCATTCTCTACTCCAGGTAACGGTTCAGAGGAACAGGCAGGGAAGTGTGCAGAGTTAAGACACCTGGGAGATGTGGCCAGGCCACAAATGGCTGTAGGGGAAGTGCAAGGCAGCAGGCAGAAGCAGAGAGCAGGAGGTGATGAGGAAGGAGCAAGATGTCTCATGGGAGGTCAAAGTGGGAGAGAGGGTACGGAGGGAGCTGCCAGTGTCACCTACGGCAAAGAAGTCCAGCCAGGTGGGTTGCAGAATGGTGATGGCATCACCCACTGCCCACCAGTTTATCAGCAGGGCTGGCCAAGTCTCTTGGGCATGCTTTCAGATGGTGACACTCCCCATTATATAGCCCTCTGTGTTTGTGTGAATTTTCTTTCAGTTTCATCCCTTTCTTTTCTGAGCCTCTGGCCTTGAGACTTCCTGCAGATGGAGCTCCCTGCCACTGTCTCAGAGGCCTCTCCTAGGAGGCAGGATGCACCCTGGCCCAGGGCGTAGGCTCAGGAGCCAGACTCTCAGGGTTGGAAATGGCTGAGCCAGCATGAACTTTCCTTGCACTTGCATTCTCCTCACCTGCAAAATGCGGACAATGTCCAGGCACAGTGTCTCATGCCTGTAATTCCAGCACTTTGGGAGGCCAAGGCTGGCGGATCACTTGAGGTCAGAAGTTCGAGACCAGCCTGGCCAACATGGCAAAAACCCCATCTCTACTAAAAATACAAAAATTGGCCGGGTGTGGTGGCACGTACCTATAATCCCAGCTACTCAGGAGGCTGAGGCAGGAGAATCGCTTGAACCTGCGAGGCGGAGCTTGCAGTGAGCTGAGATTGCACCACTGCACTCCAGCCTGGGCAACAGAGGAAGACTCCGTCTCAAATAAAAAAGTGGAGGCAATGATAGCAGCCATCTCTTAGGGTTGCCTCAACACCGAGAGCAGTGCCAGGCAGAGTGCAGCTGCTCCCACGGTCATCAGTCCTTCCTGCAGTCACGCGTCCTCCAGCCTCGCCCTTATTTCCTCTCTCACCACCTCCTTTGCTCTCACCGCCTTTCCCTCTTTTCCTGTCCCCAGTCGGCCTTGTAGCCTCTGGCATATCATCCCATCATGTTTGCCACTCACTGGGGCCTCCCTTATGCTGGCTGTGCTGGGCGCTTTCATGGCAATGTTCTCTCTGAAAACCTTCACCACCCTTAGGTAGGTAGCATCAGCCCCCTTTTACAAAGGAGGCATCAGTCGCTTACCCAGTGACAGCTGGGAGATGAAGCAGGTCTCCTTGGGATCAGAACCCACTCACGTTCTCTCTCCTAACAGTCAGAGGTAGACACCACTTTTTTGTGAGTCAGGGATGGGCTCTGGGGAGGCCTGCTTGTGGGTACGCTGGGGCTGTCTGTAGGGAATGCCATCTCCCTCCCTCCCTTTTTTTCTGCTGGCTCCTTCCTCTGGCAGCACATTCCCAGGAGATTTCAGGTCAGAGAGGAAACACTTCTGTGCATGTGCTGGTCAGGGCCAGAGCTGCCTGAGGAAGTGGCTACCGGGTGTCCTCCAGACCCCTCCCAGGAAGGGGCCCCATTCAGCTTCTGGGAAACAGCCTGTGTTTTTTTGTGAATGGACCGCATTGTGACCAGCCTGTGGGTCTTGTCAGAGGTTTGGGGCCCTCTGAGCTGAAATGCCTCCTGCAGGTAGGGAGTTGCAGGAGACCTCAAGGCCCAGCTGCCCTCTGCTCCCTCCACGTCCATCCCACCTGAGAAGCGAGGATGCAGTGCGGTGTGTTCAGCACTCCAGGCTCAAGGTGTGAGGCTGTGTAGACCCTAAGCCAGTCCCCGTGCCCCTGGCCTTTGGTGATGCTGCCCGCCCAGCACTTCTGGGAGTGGAAAGAGGACCGTGGCTGCCTGGTAGTGTTGGTTCGCTGGCCTCCCCATCCCACTTTGTGTCTGTGGCTGCTTCTCCCACATCCTGTTCTGACTGTGAGGAGGAAGGGGCAGTAGTGTGTCCTCAGCCACTCCCCTTGCTGATTTCCCAGCAGGTTTCTACCTCAGATGTAGGGCACAGTTCACTGTCCTATATAAGTTCATGTCTGCAAAGGGCCCGAGAGCTGGGAGGAAGTAGAGAAGAACTGGGGGTACTGGGGTTTGAGGTTTGTGAGCCCAGGGGCCTTCTCAGCCCAACCTCCTGCGGCCCCCTAACCTCAGGCAGGCCTCCAGGACCGTCTCTGTAAAGTGACGTCCTGGGGTCCACACAGGCCTGGGAAAGGTCCTCTGCAGGCTACTGATAGCAGCTGATCCAAGGGTGACACAAGGGTCAGGAGCCCTGGTAGCCCTGAAAGGTTGTGGTGAGGTTGCTGCCTCCATGTCTCCACATAGCTTTCATTTCTGCTTTGCCATGCGGGGCCTGTGTCAGCGGAGACTGCGGATATACTGGCATCTGCACCGGCTCCAGGCGGGCGGAGGTGCTGAGCTCACCGCTGATGAGAATCCCAGCACGGCAGGAAACCCACACACACGGGCTTCTAGAGGCAAAGGCTCTCACTGCCCTGGTGGGTAGCCAGCCCTTCCATAAAAGGAAACCTCAGTGCCCTCAGCCTCCTACCTCTCTTTGCCCCATAGTCCTGAATAGAGTAAAATAGGATCTGTGGAGGCAGCTCTTCCCCTGAGTCTTGTGGGCAGTGGAGGGGGTCACTGCTATAGAGGGCAGATGCAGCTGAGGCCTGTGAGACCGCCACAGAGTGTGTGCACTCTGCGAACCAGGAAAAGCCTGGCCCCGTCTGAGCTGCAGAGACCCTTGTGATGGCTCATGGCTGAGTGCCAGCTGGGGTAGGAAAGGGGGAAATCCCTTCTCGACCCCTAAGAACAGATGCTTGGGGCCAGGGCAGCCTGGATGTAGATCCTCTGAGCTTAGTGGCCTTCTGTGGTTTGGTCCTGTCTCCCGGAGAGGGCAGAGAGTGTACCTAGCGCAGTTTGGGGTATCTCTCAAGGGGTGATGAGTGGAGTGGATTTTGTGAACCATCTCTCTCCCCATTGTTTCAGTGGGTGTATAACATTCTCGACAAGAAGGCTGAAGCGGATCGGATTGTTTTTGAGAACCCAGATCCCGCTGACGGGTTTGTCCTCATCCCTGACCTCAAGTGGAACCAACAGCAGGTAAAGGTTTCTGGCTGGAATGCCCTGGTCTCTGGCCACCCTGCTCCAAGTGCTGGTCCTTCTGCTTGCCCTCTTTCTCACGCTGGCCTGTCTCTAAGCAGATTATAATTAACCAACAAGGGTTGGCCTGAGCTCTCTGTGGGGACCGGGTGCATACCTGTCATACATAAGTGCTTTTGTTTTAATGGATCGGCTTAAAGCGCTTTCTGGCTCTCCTCCCACCCAAGAGGTAACACAGGGTGATGTTTGCACCCATGACTACATAGGCCGTTCCTTACCAGCCAAGTGGTCTGGGCAGCCACCTGTGCTTCCAGCCACACCTGGAGCCCTCAGTTGGGGTGTTTACATTTTCTCCGTTCTTGACACCAGCAGATCCAGGCAGGCCCATGTCCTGAAGCACTGCCAGGCAGGAACCATGGTCACCAACCCAAGGCGTCTCCTCCTCAGCCCGAGCTGTGGAGTGGAGTAACTTAGTCCAGACTTCCACTCAGCTCCTCGGTCCCATGCCCTGGCCTCCAAGCACCTCTGCTTCTCCCATCCTCCTAAGGAGCAGGTTTGGGAGGATCCGTCCTCCCTCACAGGTATCACCTTTCGAGTTCCCTATGGCCTTCCTGTCTCTCTCAGACCAGCCCACTACCAGAGTTATCACCTACTACCACCTCTTTTATACACTGAGAGTATCAGAAACTTTTATACCCTGATAGCGTCAGAAACAGGCAGAGCCACTGTGTTGCAGAGAGTGCTGCTCATACCACAGTCTGGAACCGGGCCGTACTCAGCCTGCAACAGGGGAGGGGCGGCCGGGTGCAGTGGCTCATGCCTGTAATCCCAGCACTTTGGGAGGCCGAGGCAGGCGGATCACCTGAGGTCGGGAGTTCAAGACCAGCCTGACCAACATGGAGAAACCCCATCTCTACTAAAAATACAAAATTAGCCGGGTGTGATGGCGCATGCCTGTAATCCCAGCTACTCAGGAGGCTGAGGCAGGAGAATCACTTGCATCCAGGAAGGGGAAGTTGCAGTGAGCCGAGATTGTGCCATTGCACTCCAGACTGGGCGACAAGAGTGCAACTTCGTCTCAAAAAAACAAAAAAATAGGAGAGGGGCCTGGATAAGCCAAGGCAGGCAGGCAGACTTGGGCACTGGGAGCAGACCCACCTCCCCTCTCCTCCACTTTCACCTGCGGCGTGCTCCAGGCTCAGATGTGCCGTTCTGCTCTCGATGGGCTCGTCTGGTTTTTGCATCCCTCACAGGGTGGAGAGACACTCGTAGAGAAGGTGCCTTGTGGTGGACCCCGTCTGTCCCTCCGAGGGCTGGCTCCCTCTGCCTCCTCAGTTGTGGCTGCCCATGAGGCCTTCAGTTTTGACTCAGGGTAAAGGGGTGGGAGTTTGGCTCAGAGTTACACAGGCGTGTGAGCATCACTCGTCTCTTGACAGGAGGCTTGTGGGAATTCCCAAATGTGGCCCAAGGGGTGGGAGAAAATTTGAAGGGAATTTCCGAAGTTGCAGCATTGATTGATGATTTCCTAGAGCCAAGTAAGTTCAAAGAAGAGGGCTCTCCTCGTGTGGGGTGCTGCAGGGAGAGGCTAAGGGGACACCTGCATCCCCTCTCCCCTTCCCTGCAGCTTCTCTCTGCCTGTGCCACCTTCAGGCCTTGAGGGAGGGAGCCAGGACTGGCTCTGTAGGTATTTGAAGAGGTAGGACCTGAAGGCCTACTGACTCAGACTGAGTGGTGGCTCTGCAAACCCCCATCTGTCCCCTGGGGCCGCCCTGCGCCTGGAGATCCGGGGTCAAAGCCTGGGTCATAGGAAGTGGGGCCCACCACTAATGAGAATCCCAGCGGGGCTGTGGAGGCGTAGGGTAGGAGGACCTTCTGCCACACGAGACTCTTGAAGACTGAAGAGCTTGCCAGGGGATCACAGTCTTAAGGCCTTGGAAGGACAACAAAAGATAGACTTGTCCATCTCTATCCCTGAAGCCCCGAATGCATTTGAGCCCATGGCAGAGAACAGAAATCCGCTGTCCTTCTGACTCCAGTGCTGGCAGGCCGTGCTTCACCTGCCAGTGGAACCTCCCTCCCTCTATCCCTTTTAAGACAGGAAAGGCTTTAGGAGCTGCACTCTGGCTGCCAGCCACAGGCTGGAATTACTTGTCCTCAAGGGTCGTGAAAGGGCAAGCTTAAATGTCAGGCTTTGCTTCATAGTGATGCAGGTGTGGTCCTTCTTAACCTTTGCTTAATTCTTTTCTTTTTTTCTTTTTTTTTTTGAGAACAAGTCTCACTCTGTTGCCCAGACCGGAGTGCAGTGGCGTGATCTCAGCTCACTGCAACCTCCGCCTCCTGGGTTCAAGCGATTCTCATGCCTCAGCAACCTGAATAGCTGGGACTACAGGCGCGAGCCACCGCGCCCAGCTTTAATTCTTACTTGACTTTTGATGATGACGTATTTTACTGTGTCAGATCTTTGACTTGTGACAGCACTGAATTTGATAGCTCTCTTGGAATTAGGCAATGCATCCAGCAGAAAGACAGGCCATGTCTGGGCTTCTATTCTTTGTCGTTGGGCCAGGGAAGGGCTGGGAATAGGGAGACACCCTGGTGTTTGCTTTCAGGATCTTTCCTAATCACCTTGAATCTCCTCCTGCCACTGGTCCTGGAAGTTACTGTCTCCAAACTGATGGCCCAGAATTCAAGAGATTATCCATTTTTTCATCTATTCAACAAATATTTACCAGATGCCTGTTTGCTAGAGACGGTGCCTCTTTAGGAGGTTATAACATCCCTTCTTCTGTTCTCTTAAAGGTCACCTGTGTGTTCTTTTGTTTATTTTCTTGTAGGTTTAGTTCATACATGTGGCAAAAATGCACACAGAACAGAGGATGTGCAGTGAAAGTATGTTCCCTCACCCCGTAGTCCTTCCTTTCCCTTCCCTAAAACCACTGCCGTTGCTATTTCTTTGTCTCTGGTAACCTTTCTATACTGGGTTTATAAACATATGTACATGTGTATATAGATACACACACATTTTCAGTTCATATGATTTAAGTTCTTTGATCTAAAATTCTCAGACCAGAGAATTCTTCCTTTGAGTCACCCTAGATGTTAAAAGATGGCTCTCTAATGCTCCAGCAATTCTCTTTCTTCCTGCCAGGAAACTGTTAGTTGGATTTTATGGTCTTGACTTGTAAAAAGAGACTGATGGTGTCTATCTGTCTTCCCAGAGTGACGGATGGGCCACCTTCTGGGGCGCCAGCCTGAGGCCCTCTCTTGCCCCTGGTCTAGCTTTTTTCAGATCACTTCTCTGAGCCAGGAGGCCTTTGGCTGCCAGCAGGAAATTTTGGGTCATGTCTAATGAATGGATTATTTTCCCTCCCTTACGCAGCCTGTGAACTGACACCTAATACCACGGTCTGACACCCAGCACCAGGCTCCATGCCCCATTCTATGCCAGTGGAGCAGAGAGTTTCGAGTTAGTGTCATGTTTGTGATTTGTCAGCAGACATCACTCAAAACAAATGTTACTATTATTTGGGAGTCCCATGACAATGACACATAGAACAACTGAAAACGCACGCACTCAGACATTCATCAGCATGTGCACGTGCGCGTGTGAGCGCGCACACACACACACACACAAAACCCAAGTTCAAGCACTTTTGTTTCTGGGCTTCTCTTTGGATTCCTAAGTCCAAAGTGAGAGAGTACATTTCTTGGGCACAGAGCATGAGAGAGTACACAGGAGCAAATTGAGGCCTGGTGCATACAGCTCAGCCACACGTGGGAGCTTCCTGTGGGCTCATCTGTAGAAAGTCTGAGGCAGAGAACCCAGATTCCTAGAACTCTGGCAGGAAAAATGTTCATGGCATGTAAAGACCATGGCATAGTTGTATATCAGGAAGTAATGTAGAAAAGCCCATCCTGAATTTTCAATTTGGGGCCCCAGGGAATTTGGTTGGGTGAGTCATGGTCCTGAAGTTATCTCCACAAGGAATCTGGTAGCTCAGACTGCAGGGCAGGGCACTGCTGGGTTCTCCCCGCGCTTGGCCCCTCAGAGCCTTGGTGTCTGGGGCCTGCCTGTGCTTGGATGTAATTACCAGGCAAGGCCAAGGTTTAAGTAAGCAGGGTGTTCTGGGCAAGAGGAAGAGTTCATTTGCCCTCTGGCACAAGATCTTGACTTTGATTCTTTGTACTGTTGTGACCTTCAGGTTTTCATCAGCCAGGCTGTGCTCCGGAAGGACAGCAGGAAGGTGTCCTGTGAGATAGGGGAAGAGAGAAACATGCTAACTGCCCTGGTGTGTGTGCTGCTGAGCTGGCCCTAGGCTCCCTTTTCAGCCGTCACAGCCCACTCTACCCCTTCACGTGCCTTGACTCCAGACAAATCAAGTTACTTCCTCTCCCCTTACATATACATTCTATGCCCTCTACATTCATACCCTATACATTGTTGTCTCCAAGCCTTTGCTCTGTTTCTTCTACCCGAATATCCTTTCTCCAAATTCTACCACTTTTTCTAGACCGATCCTCTGCTTTTTCTTCCAGGAGGCCTTCCTGTGTTGTACCAGGTAGCTAGAGTCTTTCCTTCCTCCTGTGCTGGGATTATTTTGTGTCTTACAGTAGAGCTACTTACATACGTGCAATCAGACTGTAAACTCTTAGAGGGGGAGAGTTGCCCTTGCTCTTCCTTGAACCTCTTGGCTCCCTGCCCCTGGTAGCTCTGGGGAGTGAGTATGTAGAACTCTCATAGGGTATTCTCTAGCAAGAAGCAGATACAGAAGGCCTGCCCCTCAGACCATCCCACAAGCCTGGGATTGCCTGGGATTGCTGCCCGCATTGCCTGGGGGCAGTCCTGCTGCGGGTCAGTCCTGCTGCGGGTCAGTCCTGCTGTGGGGTTTCTCCTGGCGCTGCAGGCCTCGGGTAGATGCATCTTGACTTACGTGAGAACTCCAGGGTTGGCAGCCTCCCCAGGTCTGTTCCCTGCTGAACCTGGTCTCCCCTCGCTCTCTACGCAGCTTGATGACCTCTACTTGATTGCCATCTGTCATCGCCGGGGCATCAGGTCCCTACGCGACCTTACTCCAGAGCACCTGCCGCTGCTCAGGAACATCCTCCACCAGGGGCAGGTGAGTGGCTTCACCACACCACATGGAAGCCCAGAGAAGTTAGACTCAGATTCCAGTGTGTTCCAAGGCCCCTTTCCTCACCCTTCCCAGAGTCCATCTTAGAGACTTCTCTCGGGGACCCCATTAGGCTCTTCAGGTTGAAGAGCAGGGCCCTACATCTCTGGTCGTGCCTGGCACGCCAGCTCTGCTTTGAGCCACATTTCCTCACCCTCACACTCGCCTTCCTCAGCCCTTCTCCACAGGTCCCATCTAGGATGCACTTCCACCCCTCACCCCATAGACTCTGGTCCTTAAGTCCTGGCCCCTCCCACTCAAGGATCACCCATCTGTCATGACAACCATGACAACCACATCGTGCCAGAGCTGCTTGGGAATATGAGTGCGTGTCTTCCATATGTGTGCATGCATGTGTCTCCCTGTCTAGACTCAGGACAGACTGAATTCTGTAGGACCTGGTGCTCTGGGATACTTTCTCTCTGGGATTTTTATTGAATTGAATGAAATTATAGGGGCTCTAAATGGAGCCCAGGAGCAGGGGAAGATGGGGGAAGGGTGTCTAGAATCTTGGGTGTAGTCCTGGCCTGACATTTGGACCCTAACCAGCTTAGTGGCCTGGGGCAGGTTACTTCACCTCCCTGGACCACAATATCTAGATGGATCCCTTCTAAATACACCCTCCTTTGGGGCTGGGTCTCAGTCTTTTTCCCACTCTGAGATGTGATGATCTACCTGACATGCCAGAGCTAGCCGTCATAACGATGCCCAGCCAGGAGAGAGGTTTGCCCCTTTTTGACCAGTGCTGCTTCGAGGTGTTAATGCAGACCTGGAGGAAAGGCTCTGCCCAGACCCAGCCTCCCCCTGCCGCTGGGCTCCAGTCGATCTTCCCTCCTGCCCACCCATGGCACCACCCCTCTGGCTGCCTTTATCTTTTTGGAGTGGCTTATTCATATCCTGAAGCAGTCTCTGGATATTACAAATGGCAGACAATGGTGTCTTTCTCTTGGGGAGATGCTGGGCCAACACTTTGACCTGCCGTAGCAGCTCAGACAGCTCTACCCTGGCAGGCAGGCCCCACTTATTCCAGGAAGCCTTCAGGTGCCTTGGCCCTGGTCCCACCCTGCTGCAGAGGTTCCTGGGGCGAGCTCCAGATGCAGAACACAATTCTGGGGTGTATACTGAGCCCACTGAGGCCCTAGTCTTTTTCTCTTCACCTCTGAGCACCTCAGGGATTTGCCCACAATGGAGATGAGTGTCTCTGGTTAATTCTATGCCTTGCAGGCTCCTGAAGGTGGAGGTTGGTAGAAAAAGACCCACCCTTGAGCAAGGTGGAAGAGGGCAAAGGGAGCCAGGGCCAAAGTCAATGCTTTCTTCTTCTGCAGGGAGCCCACTGAGACTTGCCTAGGTCTGTGTGGGGGCAGCCCCTCCACACCCCTTCCCCAGTCCTTGCACCTTCACCAAGTCCTCAGCATAGCTCCCTCCCTATCTTCATTGTTTCCAACCTCCACCCTGTCCTATGCTGAGAGAGAAAATGAGGCTTCCTTCCACCCACTTCATGATTGATTAAATGCTTCTAAATCATGAAAGATTATTCCCATAGTCTTGGGAGTCTGGGGCCTGTCTGTAGACACTAGGCCTTCCAAGATTCCCAGCAGCAACTGTTTGAGGAAGTCAGTGTTTTATCCACGTTAGGGTGGGGACGCTGATGGAGGCCACTCCCCGCTTCCCGTGGGAGAGAGTCTCAGCTTTGCCGCTGTCAGCTGTACTCATGGATTTCCTAGACTAGAAGACAGAGGGAGCTGAAGCAGACAGCAGGCAGAGAGCTGTTTGGAAGGTTTTTATGAGCTGCCCCAGGCCAGCCCGGGATTCACACGGGAGGAGGGTCTAGATGGGGACAAGGTGCCGGCCCCCAGGTAGCACGGTGACTCTTGGCCTGCCTGCTCCTATCTCATCAGGAAGTCATCCTGCAGCGCTACCAGATGACAGGAGACCGTCTACGAGTATACCTGCACTACCTGCCCTCCTACTACCACCTGCACGTGCACTTCACCGCCCTGGGCTTCGAGGCCCCCGGCTCAGGTGTGGAGCGCGCCCACCTGCTGGCCGAGGTGATCGAGAACCTGGAGTGTGACCCCAAGCACTACCAGCGGCGCACGCTCACCTTCGCCCTCAGGGCTGACGACCCCCTGCTCAAGCTCTTGCAGGAGGCTCGGCAAAGCTGACTTAACTCGAGGAGAAGAGCACAGATGTGTGGGACTGGGGGAGGAGTGGGGACAATATTTTTTATCTCCAAGTGAATTTTCTAAAAATGTGTTTTGTACCGGCTTATTCCTAGTAGTGAATAAAGTAGTGGGCTCACTCAGTGTGGACAGCGTGGCCTGGGAGGCAGACAGATGGCGAGGGAGAGTGGGTGGGCAGAACTGGTGGGAACGCCTTGAGAAAGGTGGAAAGGCTCCAGGTGGTGCTTTCAACCGATGGGTGGGAGCTGACCTGGATGGGTGCCAAGGGCCTTCTCAAGCCCCTGGGCTCACAGTCCGTGGTAGCTTCCTTGTCCCCACCCTGTGCCTCTCCTGTTTGTACTCCTTCCCGTTCTACTCCTCCCCCTCTCCCCTCCTCCTTCCCCTACCATCCAACTCTCCTTTGAGGAGTTCCCCCAAAAAACCAAACTTGAAACCTTTCAGGAAATTATCTATAGAGGTTTCTGATGGCACTTCCTTCCAGCACTGAGGTCACACCTCCCTGTGAGTCAGTCAACCCTGTTGATAAACTTGTTGATGAGGATGGGGGGGGTGGCGTCTGGAATTGGGTGGGTTTTAATAGAACCAGATGATGCAAGCCTGAAAAGCCTGCCTTGCTGTTATTTGGTCAGCGAGTCCTGGCCTTGAGTTTTTTATCTCAGCAGGAAGACAAAACAGACTCACAAGGAGCAGCCAGAAGATCAAGTGCAAAACTGAATCAGCAAGGGCAAAGTGATACAGCTGCAGTTGAATGCAAAAGCCCGGAGGCGGCTCGGGTTCAAGGCGTAATAGAGGCAGATGTTCAGCTTGAGACCAGGCAGGGACCTCAAAGTGCCAGAGGCTGATGACCAATTAAAGAGCCATTGGGGCTTATCTGGGAAGGGTGACACCTGCAACCGCTCAAGCAGAGCAGGAACATGGCTTGTACGTGCAGGCTCACAAGTAAACACATAAGACTCTCCGGCACACAGGACCAAGGCATCCTACTGCCGGAGGGGCTGGCGTTGGCCACTTTGTCAGAGTAGGGCTGTGGATTTTGTGCCTTGCTTGGGAAGCTCTCAGGTGTGGCAGAATGGCAAGCTCTGAAGTGAAAGCAGGTGGGAAGCATGAGGCACAGTGAGTGGTCCTTACTCTCCATCCCTTGCCTGAGAACTAGGAAGCCTCATTCAGAGTCCAGCCCCTTTACTTGCAGGTGGTGGTCTGGGTGCAGCCAACCTGCTTCAGGATCTCAGGGCCTGCTGTGGACCACTGTGGCCCTGGGAAAGACCCCTTAGAAACAGCAGGGGAGTGGAGGGTGGCGTCAGAAAGCCTCAGGGACCTGCTGCAGCCTTCAGAGAGTTCAGATGAGGCACAACGAAGGGACTGGCCTCCACTCAGCCACTCTTTCCTGCAGCTCTTTTTTTTTTTTTTTTGAGTTGGAGTCTCGCCGTGTTGCCCAGGCTGGAGTGCAGTGGTGCAATCTCAGCTCACTGCAACCTCCGCCTCCCAGATTCAAGCTATTCTCCTGCCTCAGCCTCCTGAGTAGCCGGGACTACAGGCGTGTGCCATCACGCCTGGCTAATTTTTTGTATTTTTAGTAGAGACGGGGTTTCATTGTGTTAGCCAGGATGGTCTCGATCTCCTAATGTTGTGATCTGCCCGCCTCAGCCTCCCAAAGTGCTGGGATTACAGGCATGAACCACCGCGCCTGGCTTTTATTTTTATTTTTTTGAGACAGTCTCACTCCGTTGCCCCGACTGGAAGTGCATGCTGTGGCTTGATCTTGGTTCACTGCAACCTCTGCCTCCCAGGTTCAAGCAATTCTCCTGCCTCAGCCTCCTGAGTAGCTGGGACTACAGGTGCATGCCACCACGCCCTGCTAATTTTTGTGTTTTTAGTAGAGATGGGGTTTCACCATGTTGGCCAGGATGGTCTCCAACTCCTGGCCTCAAGTGATCCACCCACCTCAGCCTCCCAAAGTGCTGGGATTCCAGGTATGAGCCACCGCGCCTGGCCCCCTGCAGCCTTTCAACAGTCCCTGGGTTCAGGCGGCGTGCAGTTGCAGCCAAGGAACTTTGAGGTGGTGACCAATGCAGAGAGGTCTGACATAGAGCCAGCAACATCCATTTCATGGCCACCACACATCTGACCGACTTCTTCCCAGGCTAAGCAAATACTTTTGAAATACTTTTGTGGGCAGTGACACTGGCAACTGCTGGGGTCTTGGGGTCAGGAGGCTGGATGGAGGTCTTCTCCCAGAGCAGTGTCCAGCTTGCAGGAATGCTCCCTGGGTCTCAGTTATGCCCATTCTAGGTCCAGGGGAAAGAAGTGACCCACTTCCGGTCTAAAAGCACATGTGGTCCCGGCAAGCAAACACGGGCTCCATCTCCAGCACCACAGCTGCCTGGGAGTGGGGGGTTGCCTCCCCGTGCAACAGCCCTTCCCTGCAGCCTCAGCGCATGCTCACCTGCCTAGCCCTCAGTGGTGCTGCTAGAGGGCCTGGCTGCACAGGCTCCCGCTGACCTTGCCGTTCCTTCCCCTCATCCTGTAGTGCCTGGCCCCTGGAGGAAGGTGCATAGGAACTTGACACTGGATGAATAAATGTTTGAGGGGCAGGAGAGATGGAACAGAGTTCACGCAACGGGACCGATGAGGCTGGGAGTCACAGCAGAGGGCAGGCACTCAGGTCTGGAGAGGCAGGGCATGGAGACAGGGACCCTTAGGAAGGCTTCTCAACACCCCCAAGGGGCTGGCCAGTTCTGTCTTCTTCCCACTCTGCAGGGAGGGGGCCCTCTGGGATAGCATCCCCTGAATTCTCTCTCAGCCTCATTTATTTTCACCACAGTACAGAAGGGGGCTCCTCCCAAAGCCTCACCTCTTAACTTTTCCTGTACATGGAAAGACAAACCTCTGCTAGGGGCCTGGCAATGGTTTCCCTTCAGAGCCAGCTAGTGCTCTGCTGCTGTAATCGCTAGAGAACCTGTCAGCCACTGCCCTCATGAAGGTCCCTCCCTTTCTCCCTCAATCCAGCCCTCTTTGGGCTTGTCAGCCTCAAGGGCTAGAGTGCACCAGGTTGGCCGCTCTGCCAAGCCCTGTTAACACTCCAAAAGCACAGTCTTTTATTTTATTTTTTTGAGATGGAGTTTCACTTTTGTTGCCCAGGCTGAAGTGCAATGGTGCAATCTCGGCTCACTGCAACTTCCACCTCCCAGGTTCCAATGATTCTATTGTATCAGCCTCCTGAGTAGCTGGGATTACAGGCGCCTGCCACTATGCCTGGTTAATTTTTTTTGATATTTTTAGTAGAGATGGGGTTTCACCATATTGGCCAGGCTGGTCTCGAACTCTTGACCTTAGGTGATCCACCCGCCTTAGCATCCCAAAGTGCTGGGATTACAGGCGTGAGTCACTGTGCCCAGCCATCTCTCTGTCTTTATAGGGTGACCTTTATATCAGACTCCTTGATAACTGAACATGGTAGCTTCGTATATAGTGCCTCTTTTTATTCCTACTTGTGAGTTTGTCTGCTTTGTTTTAGTTATCTCTGTATCCCTGGCACCTAGGATACTACCTAGCTCAGCAAACCAACCTTTCACACAAAGCAACGTTATAACACTACATTCATATAGCAGATCATTTCATGATCTGAATTCTCGCTCCATTTTACAAAGAAATGGGCTCAGGATGTCTTGTCCAGCATTATGGTGTTAAGTTAGTCAGCTCTAGGAAGCAGAGACTTCTGGCCCTTTGTTCACCATTTCCCCAGAACCTCGGGCGGTGACTCACCTAAAAGTGCTCCATAAACATGTGGCAAATGGAGGACCAGAGCTGGGCTCTGAATGAGGCCTCCTGGATCTCAGGCAGAGGATGGAGAGTAAGGACCACCCCCTCTGCCTCATGCTTCCCTCCTGCTATCACTTAAGAGCCCACCATCCTTCCATCCTGAACAAGCCACAATTGCAGCCCTGCCTTGACAAGATGGCAAATGCCAGCCCCTCGGGCAGCACCACACCTTGGTCCTGTGCGCTGGAGAGAATGCTTCATGTGTTTAACTGTGTGCCCTCAGAAGCATGCCGTGCCCGGGCTCTGCTGGAGCAGTGCAGATGCCACCCTTCCTAGATAAATCCTGGACGGCTCCACGACTGGCTTTTAGCCCCAGTGCTTGGCCTACATTCTTTCTGCCTCGGCTGGAAAAGGAAAGCAGCAGTTGGAGGCATGACTGCTATTGTTTCTTGGCTTCTCCCTGTTTGCCTCAAAGTTTCCTAATAGAGCAAAATTGCTGAGTGGTCTCTATTTATCAACATGAAACAGAAAAATACCATCTCAGGCTCCACATTCCATGTCCCTGTTGAATACAGATCCCCGAATTGAGAAATAAGAAACAATTACCTACAAAGTAATACTTGAACATGTTTCTCTTGTAATACTTCCATATCCAAAATGTTTGAATATATTTATTTCATTGATGTAGGTCTGCCAATTCTTCCTTCTCAGAAAAGACTATTTTTTTTCCAAACATGTAAACATAAGGTTAAAATGTACTTTTAAAAATAAGATGGTGATAATTATCGGTAGTTGTTTTTAAAGTAGCTTCGCTTAGCAAAATAAATGTTAGCAACCCTAAGGTTGTTCTATTATCATATTATTGAAATTACATTGAATTCTGAAATCCATGTCAACTTGAAGTTACCCAGTTTGAACCACTGTTAGAAAATAAGCAGGAATGGAATCTGTTTCAAGTGTTTCCGTTTCAATTCAATTTAATAAACAGGTTTTGAGCATCTACGCCACCATCTTTTGGGTGTTTTGCAAGCACCTGGAGGCAAAGCTCATGTGGAGCTTACAATTTAGTGAGGAACACAGGCATTAATTACAAAGTAATTACAATGCTGATGAGTGCGTTGAAGTGGAGGGGGCTATGAGGCTTCAGCCCCAAAAAGCTAAACCTGCAGGCTAAAACTTTTCGGTTTTTAAAGTAATTATTTCTTTCAATTGGCAAATAGAAATTGTATATATTTATGGTGTACAACGTAACGTTTTGTCATATGTATACACTGTGGAATCACTATATCAGGCTAATTAACATATGCATCACCTCACACATTTATCATTCTGTAATGGTGAGAACATTTAAAATCTCTGTGAG